CTATTCCCCTGGAATCCGTTCTACATCTCCAGAGATCAATCACTGGGCTGCAGAGCAGGCACGTCAAGCTTTTGCACCTGGGCTTGCACCAGACATGCAATGGGGCAACCTCCTTCTGCTCGCGATACACCAAGCCGAGCGATTAAATGTACCGACTCTACCGCCACCACCACAAGCGGAAGAGGAGGCTCCAGAGGCGGAGCCGGTGGTAGGCGATTGGCGTCCGGTTTTGGTGCTGAGTGCGTTGGAGCGTACGACTAGTGGACCGGGCAGTGCTAGGATCCTGGCGCCTAATATGAGGGAGAGCATTCAGGATATTGTGAGGCCACTCTGGAGGACATGGAAGGCTGGGGATGACGGTACACGGTCCCTGAACGTTTCGGCTTCTCGTCCGATCCTCGCGTCGTTCTTCCGTCTCGCAGCGAAGGTGGTCGATGGTCCCTTGACCGATGCGTGCTATCGATTCTGCGTCAAGCATGACTTGTTTCGTGGCGGAAAACTCGCCGCGGCGGAAGCAGCGAGTAGTTGGGCTGATCTCAATGCTGCATATGTGTTGGCCGTGGCCGCATGTCGGGGCGTGGGATGGCAGACTGCGTTCGAGGAAACTCATATTTCGGGGAACCGCGACGAGGTTCTGACGACTTTGTTTTTCCATTACGTTCTGACGGATCTCCACATTGCACATCAAGTCTACACATATGCGGAACAGCGTGGCTATCAACTGAAGGAAAAACCTGTCTACGCCATGGGCGTTGCACTCGCTACGCCTAGGACATGGCAACTTGCTGTTCCTCTCCTTGAGCGTCCTGGCCTGTCTAGAGCACGAAAGGAGGAGATTCTCATTGCTATACTTCGCGTTTTCCAGTCGGAGCGGCGGCAGTATGTGGACCCTGCCCTTGCCCAGAGGCTAGGTGATGCCTTGTGGAAATTATATGAGCACATCGCACCCCCCAACCGCTTCAAATACCCCATCCGCTTTTTCTTCTCCATCATGATCGCTTCAGACCAGCCCGCCCGCGCTATTACTGTCGTCGAAGCTATCCATCGTAACGCACCTCCGTCCTTCTTCACGACACGCCTTTTCCTGCGGCTAATGCGCACCCTTGTCCGTTATCGTCACTTGCACCTGACCCACCGTGTGCACCGACTCGTCTCCACCGATGCTGCCGATGCTCGCGCTGCAGCCGACTTCCGGCGCAAGCTGACACACAGCCTTGCTCGCGCAGGTGCCTACAGTGCTGCTCAGCGTGCATATACTTTCGGCGTCCACCCATCACACAAGGTGTGGAGGACGCCGCGCGAGGCTATGGCTAATGCTGTCAAATTCAACGCACGATCCCCGTCATCGAAACACACCCTCCCAATCATTTCCATCCTGAGTCGTGCGCCTACCCACCCCCCGACGATTCAGTACGCAATAATGCTCCTCGTGCGCGGACGTCGTGTCTCTGCGGCACGCGCTATCCTCAAGCGCTCTCTTCCACATCTCGACAGTAAAACTGTCACGACGATCGGGAATATGATCCTTGACAGCTTGTTGCGAACGCACCTCCTCCGCAATGGACGGTTGGTTCGACACATGATGCGTACGAAGGAGCATTTGGAGAGGATGTACGGCTTCCAGGCGGACCGCGTCACTATCAATGTCATCATTAACGCGCTGCTCCGCTGGCGGGGTGTCCTGGACGCACTGAAAATAAGGGGGCTCTTCGACCACATGGTTCGGTGCGGCTACCCTGCGTCGCAGCAGCGGCGCCGGCCCACGCCGGAGGCAGACCAAAGTCGTGGTGGTGTCTATGGTGCTGACGTTCCATTTGGCACTTCCGCAGCGAGCTTGAGGGTGAATGTGCCAGCTGTGGATGAGAAGATATCGTTCGAGAGGCATGTAAGGCCCTTGTACAAGATGTTCGTGAAAGCTTTTTTCGTGAGGGGGGATACGGGTGCGGCAAGGACCGTGGTAGGAATTATGAAGGAGGAGGAGGTAAGGGCCATGAGGGTGAAGCAGGAGCAGAACCAAGCGCGAACAGCGGGGGTAATGAGGAAGAACATGATAAAAGCGAAGAGGCGGAGGACAGATAAACAGTAGACTATTCTATGATATGAACCTGTTAATTGGCGACTATATAGATACGGTATTCACTTATCGGTTTGAGAGGCGGACCACCAGGTGTGTTTGGGGTGATTGAAGAAAGAACTCAACTTTAGGCGCCTGGCTGTAAGCCTATACGCCTTACTACGTCTACTTAGTACCACCACCCAGACGAGATCTCTCACGCTCTCCGAGGAATCACTGCCACGCTTGAACCTGACTGGCATCCATCTTTCATCACAACTTCAATATCGTGCAATCTATAGTTAGTGGTCCTTTATATCGGACTCCAGGTGTACCGTGTTGCAACTGCCGCCTGGGCAAGAAATCCGCCTACGAACCCGAGACTTCTCAATGAAGAAGGTGGGATTATTTCGGCGGTCCATCCTGCGTAGCGGCCTTGAACTGCAGCCTCTGTTCTCTCCCCAGTCACCACTGTTTCCATCAGGCATGCGATAGACATCCATGGTCATAGCTGTTGGCTTGCCCGACCATATGAGTCCTACTAGTAGACCTTCAAGGAAGGGAGGAAAAAGTCTGGGCACACATAGATTTTCACTACAGTGGTGCTGACACTCCCTCCTTAAACCCATGATGCATGTGGTCACAACGTATTGAGGGGGTAAGTACTACTATAACAGCATGCAATCTCTCTCAGGTTCCCACTGTTAGCCTCAGCCAGGCTCACTTACTTGACCTTTACCCTCCTCCAGTCTCTGACCCTACCAACTGTCTGCTTCTCATCACAACTTCATCGTACAATCTACAGCTTCACCTCGCATTTATTTCATAAGGATGAGATCATTTGGTCAACGTTGTGCTAAACATATCAAATGTCGTCATTTCGCGTAAAGAAGCACACGTCTGGAACTGTCCTATAAAGAGGCAGGTCGTGTGGACGCCTTTCTCACACAGGCAAGATGTCAACCACCAAGACCAACGTATTCATCCTTGGTGCCACTGGTAAGTCAGACTCTAGCCAGAAGATCTTAACCCAGCACGCATAGCCTTCAACGTTCGTGGCAGGTTACATTGGAGGATCGGTCCTGGCGCGTTTTCTCAATCGCTCAGACTCGGATTCTCTAAACTTTACCGCTCTTGTTCGGTCCTCCGAAAAGGCTGAGAAATTGAAGGCAGTGGGCGTCAATGCGGTTGTCGGCTCTCACACGGATGGCGGATTAGTGGAAGAGTTATCATCCGAAGCTGACGTTGTTCTGTCCATTGTCAGTTCAAATCTAGACTGGACGAGATAGCAATAACTCAACACGGATACAGGCGGATTGTGACTACCTCCCGGCCGCTCAGTCCATTTTGAAAGGGCTCGAAACACGTTTCAAGTCTACGGGAGATGTGCCCATCTTGATACATACCGTGTGTAACCGTCTGCGCCATCGCTGCATTTTATTGACACTGTGTATGGTGTTCAGTCAGGGACCGGTGAATATTCGTTCTGATCAGACAGGAGGGTAATAAAAATTCATTGATTTCCAGGCGTGCTTGTCGACAATGCCGCTGGAGCATTCGCTGGTGAAACCATCTACGATGACGCCAATCCCGCTCAGATCGAGACTTTGGCACCCTCTCAACCTCATCGTATAGTTGATCTGGAATTACTCAAAGGAGACGCAGCTGGTATGTGTACTATTCATTATGCAGGAAGACGTTCCTTTAGTAATTTACACAGGCTATGTGAAAACATACATTGTCCTCCCGTCTACTATATACGGTCTTGCCTTGAACAAGCTCGTCAAACTTGGGATTCAAAACCCTCACTCGATCCAGATCCCTGCTCTCATCGATGCATCACTAGACCGCGGCGAGGGCGGTATGATCGGGCAGGGCAAGAACATATGGCCCAACGTCCATATTGATGACGGTGTGGACATTTCCCGTTCCTCCTTATTCCTTAGGCATTTACCCTTGTGCTAGTGGCTGATCTGTACATTATTCTCTACGACTCCATCAAGACCAATCCCGCTACTGGTCACGGCCGCGAGGGCATCTACTTTGGCGAGAATGGCGAACACACACTGTACGAGGTTGGCAAGGCCGTTTCCGAAGCACTCGTCGAATTCGGCAAATCCAAGAATCCTGAACCGACGACGTTCAGTAAAGAAGACATCGACAAGTATTTTGGCGTAGGTCGAGAGCCTCTCTCGTTTGAATATGCAGTGACTCTGTTCTACTTTGTAGGGCTCTGATTACCTTGGCACGAATTCTCGCTGCCGGGCCAATCGTTCACGTGCTATAGGTTGGAAGCCAACGAAGACAACGGCTGATCTTCTCGCCAGTGTAAAGCCTGAAGTCATAGCCGCACTGAACAGGAAACCTGTCCAACTTCGTTAAGCCTCACATATTAATTATGGAAGGAAACAGCAATATGTGGATCCATGTTTTTTACTTGTATTTTCGGCTATGAACATGCAGTTGTAAACATCAAAAGTAACATTAAATCGTTGCTCTATGCTGAAATTGACTGATAATATGAGATGGTGTCTTCCTAACACCACCACCAGCTGCTCTCCCCTCCTCCCAATTCTCTCGTCAAGTACAGTTCTGCTCACGTACTGCGTGCTAATATGAGGCAATTACAACACGCTACACAAGCGATAAAATAATATCCACTTTGTATTGCTGATGATAAAACAAACCGTGTAGAAAAGAATCCAATTTAGTGGCGGAATCCTTAATTTTGGAATTTTTTTTTATCTAGCTGATTTTTATGTTTTATGCTTGGATATCAATCCTTAAGTCTTAAAATTCTAAATTAAATTAGAGGAAGCTAGTCAAATTTCTACAATTTTCCTTGGTGGTTATGGAAAAGAGAAAGAGGGATTTTAGGGAAGGTTTTGATCTCGTACTGGGGGTGTGGCACACACCTCTGTCCATCTCTTTGAGATCAGGCATATCTGGCGGGTTAGCGTAATGGTTAACGCGTCAGTTTCCGGCCGTGTAATGTTAGCTGAAGATTCCGGGTTCGAGTCCCGGGCCTGTCGCTTTTTAGTGCTGTGTGTGTGCACTATGGGTCGCCGCCTAACTTGTTCGAACGCAACGCCACCGTCAAAGACCAATTCCATTCTCAATTTATGACCTCCCCTCCTCCCCATTGAAAGACCACTACCAAAGTTATACAGCATACAGTTTTTCAGAAAGCCTATAACTACCTGCTTTCGCAGTGACGCAGTTTACGAAGGGCAGTGTTTCTGGTTCTCTTTGTTGATCCCACGCCACTTTCAGGAACCAAATAGCCGAACCATGGCCAATCCACTGCCTTCAACTGCGCTCCACTGGCAGTAGACGCTTTCAATCCGATGTGGTCCTAGGTTACCACACATCGTATATCTGTTCCAACATCATTATCATGGTCGAAACCTCAACAATAGTACCCCAGAGCGCATCCTGCCTTCCAACATCGCCGCACTGATCATTAAGCTTGTTCTCCCATATGTACTCACGCGACGATTCGGATCACTGTATTTAGATTGTAATGCAACAACGGTCATCCCCCGTTGCGGGATTGGCCCGCGATTCATGTGTCTGCACGGTCTTAGGCGTCGTCAATACGCGGATCTTTCTTTCCTTCTTTTGGACGAGGTTGCAGAGATCGCGGGACCCTTGCCATCCGCTTCACATCAACAAGTCCCAGCGTACTTATGTAGCGTCTCGCGCGTCCCCAGGTTTTGATCTCTCGAACCTCTGTTGAAGTTCCAGATCACACCATAAACGGTAAGTATGTATGTACCTTCCAAGAGTTCTAAGAATAGCCACGCTCCTCAAAAACAAAACGGAAACTTAGAAGCGCGGAGGGCTGATGGCTATACTTCGCCGCGATGACAATTGCCGACGCATTCTGCCGATGGCTTGTTCAATATTGATCATGATATTGTATATCAAGAACATTCTTTTCACCTTCACTTTCACAACACTTTCAGCACATAGTCATCGGAATCTCTCCACTCCTTTCCTCTCCGACTGCACGTCACCAACTTCCGCAAAATGCTTTTTCGGATCTCGTTATGGCTGGCCTTGACTTGCGTATCTGCGTTGGGCAGCACCTCCGGCTCTTTTGTCGAGGCAGGAGACACCCTCGTCAGCGCCTTGACGGTAAGTAGCCCAACTCTCCTCTGCCAATTTGTTCTCAATGACAGGACCTTTCAGATGTTCCTTGGGAATGAAGAAAAAGTGTATATACTAGACAAGGCCGAGGGGAATGCTGCTACGATCAACGGACACCCAGCATGGGGCGCAGTCTGGTAAGACTCTGCCACACCTCCAGGCTCCATCCCTGACTTCTATTGACTGTGTGCAGGGACATCGCGAGTCAGCAGGCCACCGTTATGAATGTTCTGACCAACACATTCTGTGCGTCGGGAATGCATCTTCCCAATGGATCCTACGTTACCTTCGGTGGTAATGGTGCTGTTGGTCGCGGCGGGGAAATTGGTTCCCAGGTAAATTCAGCTGGAAGCGGCGCTTGGGATTCAGAGTATCAAGACTTCGACGGCACCATGGCCATCCGGATTCTCAATCCGTGCACAAATTCCGATTCGTTCTCCTCCTCTGAATGTCAGTGGTTCGACAATCCTAAAGCCCTCTCCATGCAGAAGCAGAGGTGGTATTCGGCGGCCGAAGCGCTCGCCGACGGGTCTGTGGTTATGATAGGCGGTTTTGTCAATGGGGGTTACATCAACCGGAACTACCCCAATGTCGACCCCGAATTTGAGAACGGCGGAGCAGAATCGACATACGAATTTTATCCTGCGAATGGGCGCGTAGCGACAACCATGCAGTTCATGATCAAGACTTCAGGCCTCAACGCTTACGCCCATACCTATCTCCTGAACTCCGGAAAGATGCTTGTTCAGGCGAATATATCAACTAGTGAATACATCATTACTACTTCAAGGGTTGAGCGACTAACTGACTGACTACTCATCAGTAATCTGGGACTATGAGAACAATATTGAAATACCTCTCCCGGACATGCCTGGTAATGTCGCTCGCGTTTATCCTGCCTCCGGCGCAGTCGCAATGCTTCCCCTCACTCCTCAAAACAACTACACCCCGACAATCCTCTTTTGTGGCGGCAGCGACATGCCTGATTATGCGTGGGGCAACTATCACAATCCAAACATTGATACATGGAAATACCCTGCTTCCCAGGATTGCCAACGCCTTACCCCGGAGCCTCTCGATGGTTCAGATCCCGAGTACGAAGCGGATGACGACATGCTTGAAGGGAGGACCATGGGACAATTTGTTCTGCTCCCCGACGGAAAGATGCTCGTAATCAACGGGGGTTTGAATGGCACGGCTGGTTATGCCCAAAAGACTGGTGAGACTGCCAACTATGGTGATATGCTGTACGGAATGTCGCTTGCCTCTGGCCCTGTGGGTACACCAGCCATCTACGACCCCGAAGCGCCGAAGGGATCGAGGTGGTCAAACGATGGGCTCGCAACTTCAAATATCGCGCGCTTGTATCACTCCACTGCTATCCTCCTCCCTGACGCCTCCGTCCTTGTTGCGGGATCCAATCCTAATGCCGATGTTAATACAAGCACCATTTACCCCACGACCTACAAAGCCGAAATCTTTTACCCTCCTTATTTTAGTGCTACAACTCGTCCCGCCCCATCCGGCGTGCCAAAATCTATTTCGTACGGAGGTGACTACTTTGACATCACCCTTCCACAGAGCTCGTACACTGGATCTATTAATGATGCTGCGGGGAACACGACCGTCGTCCTCATTCGCGGTGGCTTCTCCACACACGCGATGAACATGGGCCAGCGCCATCTGCAGCTCAATAACACGTTTACGGCGAACAACGACGGATCTCTGACGCTGCATGTCGCGCAAGCACCGAATCCCAATGTCTTCCAGCCGGGACCTGCATTGCTCTTCGTTAACGTGAGAGGTGTCCCGAGTAATGGGACGCTGGTCATTGTTGGGAGCGGTCAGATGGGAGCGCAGCCTACGGCGCCGGCGAGTGTACTTCCTGATAGTGTGTTAATGACTGTGAACACTACGACAACTACTCAAGGGAAGGATACCAGTTCCGGTCAAGGTACCAGTAGTGCAAGGACACTTGGTGGTGGCGTGACTCTTGCAGGTATTTTTGGTGTTGCAGTCATGGTGATACTGCATCTATAAACTGCTTACTTGGTATGGTTGTTGACTGCGCTTTGGACAAGATTTGTTTTATATTAGCGGACTTTTGACTACTGAGGAATACATATCCATTATCAATTGATTCAGGGTGTAATCGAACCTTGGGTCCCCCGAGTAGATACTTACTTGGGGGGGAGTAAAAAGATCTTTGTTCGTCACTCTGGGATGCACGTGATCACACGACCCCTTGTCAACAACTCCCACGTCGCCTCTCCAAGCTTCAAGCTTGGCTCCAGCACAGTCGCAGAAGGTCGAATTGTTCAATTTTGGCACGAGGATTTTTCACAATTCATTCATGAAGATACATATATAGACCCTATTGCTTGTAGCTCAACCCCACCAAGAGATCGCCCCGTTCATTGAAGACAGGGTTCTTGATGAAAAATGTCCCTCCTCCAGGGAACACGAAGCAGTTCTGTCCTTGGATCAACGACGCAATCGTAGCCGCCAAGTTCTCCTTCTTCATCTCCTTCTCCATCACCTGCTTCACCTTCTCGGCAATCTTGTCTTCCTTCGAGTCTCCGAAGATCAAGCTAAAGAGCCCGTAGTCGGTTGACGCATCACAGCTAATTTTTGGCGTATCCTTCAGCTCCGCTACCACCACTTCCAGTCCGCCATCCTTAACGGAATTGAGAGTGAGCGTCAAGCCCCAGTCCAAGACGGGTTTCGTGATGTTGACCGTCTGCGAACCCTTTATCGACATCTGTTCCTCCACTCGGCTTTTCCCACTTATCGTGATCACGTTGCTACCCGTCACCCATCGCACGGTCGACGTCACCTTACTGCGCATGCTATGGATCCGCGAACCTTCGTCGAGCACCCCAAACCCATTCCATTCAAAGTCGGCGCCCTTTGGATCAATCTTCGTCCAATTACAGACTGTGGGCTTATCCTGGATCTTAGTCGTGAGCTGCCAGTCGTACGACGTCCGCGTGGCGTCAATGTTCTCCAAGCCAGCCTTCGCCCAGTGGAGAAGCTTGTTGAGGGTATGGAGCGCTTCCAGGTTGATACTGGCCAATTTTGGGAGCAGATAGCGGTCCCATATGAGCTGCTTCGATATGGCCATCGTCCCGTCTGACTCGCCTGCAACCCAGTTGCCCGAGAACGTCAAATCGTACGTCGGCATGGTATGATTATCGACTTTATGGAGGAAGAAGAACAAGTTCCTTCCAGAGCGAGCCTCTGGATTTGGACCTCCGCCCACGTGGTGGCCCATTGTCTGGAACTTTACGCTGGTGGGAGGGTAGGTGGCGATGGGGTTGGGTTGGGGGCTCTTGACGATCACGGAGTATCCTACAACATTGTTTCCCGACTTCTTCAAGTCCAACAGGTACTCCTTCAGGAAGTTGCCCAAGTTGAGCTTCTCCTTGTTCTGCTCCCCTTCCGTGAGGTCGAGGCCTGGTGTACTGGAGTAGCCTCTGTCGAAGTTGGAAATATAGGGGCTGGTGAAGTTGAACAATAGCTGGCTGACGGAGTAGCTTCCAACCTGCGCGATCTTGGCAAGAATCTCAGGAGGAATCTTGGCGAGCTCTTGGGCGGTGATGTTAACGTTGAATGCTAGTGTCCAGCCCTGAATATCGAGGGTCTCGAGGACGGAATCGGGGCCGTGGCCTGTCCAGTACTTCATGGCTCCTGAACGGAGGTGGAGATGGAAGTAAACCCTCGGCTGATCGGACATTGCTTGGTCTGCCTCGCGAATGAAGTGGATGGTAGGAGGACCCATATCTGCAGTCAAGCTGCCCTCGTTCTTGACGACGATGTTGAGCTTCTTGAGAGGCCCTGGCTCCCGCCCGTGCCGAAACTCGAAGCTGGCGTTGATATT